CGGGGCGTCAGAGGAGCGGAGGACCCCCGCGGATGAGCCCGTAGCACATCCCCGGACTCTGCAGAGGCTGCGAGCGCTGGCAGCACGGGGTGAGGCAGCTGGGTCCAGCCTGGCGTAGCCCTTACAGGGCCCGGGAGCCACCATCCCAATAGTGGAGGTGGGTGCCCACCCTGTTCTGCAAGAGCTCGTGCCTCCATAGTCCTCCTGGCAGTGCGTAGTGCAGAAAAATGCTAAAAGGCAGCATAAGGAGGCTTCCTGTCGCTTTTTTCTTCCAGCCAGCATTTCTGTATTTCAGAGAAAGGATGTGCAACAAAAGCAGCTGCCCACGGCATAAGAAAAAATATCTTTGTTATTACGAATACATCATAAAATCACAGTCACTTTATACACATTTTAGTATTTCATATATAAATAAAGTGAACAGTATAGTTACTGGAATGTGTAATAGGAACAAAAATACAGATTTTAATGTGAAATTAAATTCTTGGGGCCCCACACCCAAGATGCTTCCCTGGGGGTTCGTGTATTAACTCAGAAATACTTCCAGGAAGACAGCTACTCAAGCTGTGATGCCAACAGTAAGTCCAGGCACTACCTTAATATCATTTACAATCAATTTTCCTCTCCTTTTCCTAATGTAGCCTGACTAGATAGGAATTCTTCCATGTCAGTATTCCAGCTTTGCAAAAAAGACAAATCCTGTATGTATTTGGCATAGTGTTGAAAGAAAACATTTTCCAAGCTTTACAATTTCATTAAACCCATTAATAATCAGCATTTTCCCATCACTACACACTCTTGCAAATGTTTCCATTAAATATATTTCTAATATTAATAAAATAACAAACTCTTTATTATCCTTCTGCTTAAAACTTGATCTCTTAACATCAAAATAATATTTCTTTCTAATAAAATTACACATAATATTTATATGAAACAAAGTTGTCATGTGCGTGATGAGCCTGGTAATGAAGCTGGGCATGAGTGTAGATGTCTCTACATTCTTATTTTTGATTCTGCGGGGAGTTTGTTATTTTTGGAGCCATAGTAATAAAGAGTTTACAAGGTAATGACTTTCGTGGCTACCTGGCAATGAAGCATAATATTGGAAATTATTTCTCTGCTCTGTTTTTATAAAACTTTGGGTATGCTGAAGAAAACATCTCTTTGCCATCTGAGTGTCTTTATGTGTTTATCCAGAAATGTTAATGAAATGTTTCTGATACAACATGATATGAACGTTCTCATGCCATTAATCAGAAATAAACTGAGAAAAGTCTGTGCAAAGATCTTAGCCAGACGCAGGCAGAAGGCTGGAGCGTCTCAGCCAGCCCATGCTCAGAGAGGCTCTCCCTGCTGGAGGAATTCCTGTGTTGTGTCAGGTGGACCTACCCTAACCATAGTGTCCCCTCCTCACTTCTGGGACTCAGCCAACAGCTTTGGGGCAGGGAGTCTGGAGAGAGGAGAGTGAAGCACAAGGAAAAACTCAAGGAGCACTTTCCTTTGCTTTTTTTATGGAGTAAGCACATCTATTGGAGACCCAGCTCTAGGCTGAGAAAACTTCTGATGCAGACTCCAGAAAGGGAAGTTATTACAGTTTCCATTCCAGAAAGACTTGTAAACATGTGCCATATTTTATGTTCATGAGTCTGTAGGACAGCTTCCTCTACTTACAGTAAAGCATGTATTTTATCTACTTTTCTGATCTGCTCTGAGAATTTCTCTTCTCTGGATAACTGCACAGCAAGCAGCTGAATTTGATGGTTCAACATCTGGTATTTGTCTATATTTGGAAAAACAGACATAAAATAAGTGCCGTTTTTAGAACACATCTTCTTGTGGGCAGGGGGCAATGGGATCTAGTTAGTATGTATGAAGTGACTCATCTAACACATTATTAAGTATCTGATGGTCAAAAAACCTTCAGCCACCATTTAAATAGTGGGAATCAACCTGATCCAGCAGGTGATGGGCTGTGGTGGTAAACATGTGCACATACAACATTTGACATTTTAAAAACTTACTTAAACCTGCATATTCATAAGTAGTGGTATTTCTATGCAGTTTCTTGCTTGAAATTAAGAAAGTAATATTTAAAGACCTCAGCTCATGCTCCCTTGGAGGTTTCTTTCAGTCTGCTGTGTATAAGACCGTCCCTTTTTGGCTACAAATTCCTTCCCCAGGTCTCACTGATTTCCTTATTACTTGGTTCACAAGACTGCTTGGATCTGCAGTTGCTGGCATGGCTCCTCCCAGAGGAGAAGCCCAAAGACCACAGGCTGAGAGCACTCATATTTTCTAAGCTACCCCAGTGACTTAGTCACTGCTTTGTAAATATTGATATGTATAATCTATCTATAAGGTGAAAAGGAATATAGAACGTTACTGTTCTTAAACCTAAAACCCTTGCTTGTGGCATAGTGATAGCGAGGAGATGGGAAACCATTAGAGGAAGGAACACATCCTCTTAAAATAATATACAGAAGGTACGAAAGGTGTAGACAGCCAGCTGTTTATATCACATGACCTGTACCAGCAGTGTAGGTATTACACCAGCTATCTTTTGGCCCAGAGAATATGGAAGGGAATCCAAATCTTTATGGGTTATATGAAAAGGGCTTGCTTATATTTTTACCTGTGTTTATTCTGTTGGAACATGCAAGCCCTGAAAAATATGGCAAAACAAGGTTTTCATTGCGTTTGTAACATGGACATGACCTAGTACTAAACATAGTGTAGAAGTAGCAGCTACATAGATACAACATTGGAATTTTGTGCTTCATATACTCCTTTATCTGTTAAGCATGGCAAAGTCCTCAGCAGCTGTGGTAATCCAAAAGAAATGGTAACACACGTCATCCGTGAGGTATGGTCTAACGTGGGCATCCAGTTTTCCAGTGTAAAAAAAGGGCATTCCCTTTCATCCCCCTTCACAAATATAGGATCCCATGTGCAGACCTCGCCTTAGCCATCCCCATACCAGCTAAAAGGTTTTGTCATGTGCATCCCTGCACCTACTCATGCTTCTCATCTACCCAGCCAAATACACTGCAACTCTGTGTTCCAGTCTCATGAATGCCGTTTGGGTCGGTCTCATGCAGCAGAGGAACAAAACAGAACAGATGGAAGCTCTTTGCACACGTGTGGCCTCTCTCTGGTCTCGTTGTCACTTGGGTTTCAGCATTTCATCAAGGAAGACATGAACCTACAGGAGGTCAGAATCTGACTCTGCAAGGCTGGAATTGATTTTGTGCTTGCCAGTAAGCCCGCTTGACTGGCTTATGCTTTGTTTTCCTGCTTTATATATCCCCTATGCTCTTGCTTGTCTTTGTGTAATGTATCCAGCATGAATCTGTTGAGGAAGGGAACTGGCCTTCACACTGAGCAATGGGAAAATGGGAAGAGAAAAGTAGTGTTATTTCAGGAAAAACACATCTTTTCACCTCTCTTTGAACAATACTCTAGCAATAGAAAGCCAAATAATTTCCAGATCAAGAAGCAGTGCCTTTGTATTGCTGCTTCTCTATACTTTTTTTTTGCCCCCTTTTTCTGGTGAGGCATAATAGAAGAAAACTTTCACTTAGAGCTGGCCTCTGCTGTGAAACAAGGATCTACTTTTTGCACTCTCCCAATCCTGGGGACAGTTGCTGGAGACTCGAGTTCAGTGGTATGATATATTTACAAGTATAAAGTAACTGTAGACCAAGGTTTTCAGTACTGACATCATTCAAGGATGATGTTCAGCTACGCCCCTACCCCTGGCAAAATTTCGGTGCTGGGTCATTCAGACATGCAAAGAAAGTTAGGTAGATGAAATGCTGTGCATCTGCACCATTAGATACAGCATGCCCTAATCATATTAATATGCCAAGAAGGTTTTCTGAGTAGCCTAGCTACAACACCCAGTGCAGGCTTGACGGTGTGGAATTACTGCAAGGAGGCTACCATGAACCAGGAAAGCTACAGTACAGGCAGCATGGTTGGGTAATAGCAGAGAGAAAAATGGGAAATAATGTGTATATTTTACATTATCAGTGCATTTTTATATTGAAGAACTCTTAAAGGGGCTCTAGTTTTCAGTAGGCGTGGCTAAGGATGGGCTGCCTTCTGTATCCTGGGGTCTCTGGGTGCTGCCCGGGGTTTGTAGTCTTCTCCAGATCCAAAATCTACCGTGTCATGATAGTTTGTAAATTCCTGAGGTAACGGAAACTCCTCTGTTGATGAATGAGTCCTGTGTCCAAACACTCTCTCTTGCAGCTCAGCGATGTCATTTCTGATGTCTGCCATCATCAGCAATAGGAAATCAAATGAACCTGGTGGGCCCTGCAGTCACAAGGCACGGTCGTTAATAACAGTCCACTTCTCTCATACAATTTTTGATCAGACTGATATAATTACTCTTGCATGTGCAACTCAGTAAACTACTGCCTCATACCAACTGCTGAAAGTCAAGAGCCTGGTTTTGAATCAGCTTGATCAGGAAACAATTTCCTAAAGAAGGCAAATGTTTCTGCAGACAGAGCTGACACAAGATGCTTGGCCCTTCCATTACTTAACAATTCCTTTGCTATGTCTGCCTCCTAAGAGTTTTTAGGTGAGTTTTCACAATAAAGTACACCGTTTAATACTGGGGATGCCCTCCTGGACACACTCTTAAAAATACATCCCACCGATGATAAAACAATGTAAGAAAATAATTTTTGAACAATATAAGTTGAAAACAAATTGTTAACACTTATCCTTCCCGTGGTGACATGCTCAAAGCCTGCGGCTTCCCAAATCCCACAGAGAGATGAGGGGCAGGATTTTAAAAGGTTGCAGGGATCAAACTCCCATTAGGAGGAGTGGCTGAACTGTACTAGCAAGCACTGCATGCTCGTGTTACTGCCTCCTGCGGATGTCCCACCACTGTGGTGGGGCAGGTGCACTTACTGCCCTCAGTGTCACAGCCAGGAAGGGAAGAGGTGTCTAGGCAAAAACACTGGGGTGAAATCAGGTAATTACTTTCTTCCCCAAAACAACATACTCTGTGCATGTAAAGTGTCTTTCACTGTGCTCTTGACACAGAAGATTTTTTTTTTCCCTCCTTTGGCTGACCTGTTGTTAGTGGTCAGCATTACTCTGTTGTGGAAATTCCTCCTGTGAGCAATACTTACAGGTATCCCCTTTGGTCCTGGTGCGCCTCGCTCCCCCTGTAATCAATACCACCTCAGTTACTTTGCTGTGACTAAGGGAAATGAAAAAAATCAGTTTGCTTTCACAGTTTCCCCTACTTACTGTCCCCAGATCAAGAATCATCAGCTTACACTTGCTTGGGAAAAGCAAAGAAATTGAAGGGGGAATGCAAGAAGATTGCCAGTGATTCTAGTGAGAGCAGAACTGGGCACTTCTGATATTTCTCCTAGGCAGTAACAAGCAAACCAGTGAAGTAAACTATCAACGCTTCTTCATTTAAAAGCCCGAAGAGCTGCAGAAGAAGGAAAGGAGGCTGCTTGACAGACAGCCTGACAAGGTTGTTTGCAAGACTTAAGCAGTGGTAAGCACAAAACAGGAGAGGAGAGAAGTGAAGGGGACAACAGCATGTCTCCAGCTTAGCAAAGGAAAGGAGATGGAAAAGGGGTGTGGCTATAAGTGTGTAGAAGGTCACTCTAGCAACCCTGCACTTCACATGTGCATGTGCACAGGTTATGTGTAAAACAGCACCTCTCCTCACCTTGCTACCATCTCTCCCTGGGGCTCCTGGTGGGCCCTGTAAGAGAAAAGAAAGTGTTCACAAGGACATGAGGAGTTGTGGAGCTAAAGCCAGGTGTGCAGTACGTGAGGGGAGATGAGAATACTGACCACAGGACCCCGTCTGCCCTGCTTAATATGTGATATATCTGGAGATGGGCCCATAGGTCCCATTGATCCACGAGGGCCTGGCTGTCCAGGAGGTCCAGGTGACCCAGGAACTCCTTGACTCCCTTTTGGTCCTGGAGCCCCTGCAATTGACAGCAAATTATTACCTGCCAGGGCACTTCATCAGGGCAAGCAGTGGGGACTGAGCATTTTCTGAACCGCCCAATGGACCAGTTGCCTTAACACATGCAAATCCACAACACCACAACCAACACAGCAGTCCTCTGAGATATTAATCCTTGTCACAGTAGCTACAAAAGATGTTCACAAAACAATTAAGCCTTGTGTATACAAAGAAGCTAGGACTGCCACTGCCAGGAGGTTAAGGACACAGACTAGGAATGAAAAGAAAAGCAGAAATGTGTCATTTTCACACAAAGAAGAAAAGAACAAGTCACATTTAAGAGCACTTCATAAAAAGAAACCCTCACAAAACTCATGGGAACGTTGGGTTGAAGGCATCTACAAGACTGGCACAGAAGCAAACTCTTTTTGGTGATGGGTTGCACATCTCTTTTGCCCAGTACCAGTAGCCAGTGTAGGCCCTGTTCTTCCATTTTGCTTTATATCATTTTCAGCTTCTGCTGTTTCAGCAGTGAATGTTCACGTTTAGCAAGCACACAAACAACAAAGCTTCTATTTAGCTCAAGAGAAACTCTGTAAAAAGCAAAACAGAAAATCGGGCACCTGAAACAACATTTGCACAAAATAAAGGCCATTAAAGTGACACTAGCTGAATTGCTTTGTAATTAGAAGGGAAAGCACTTTTCTTCCTACTGAAGGCATGTGAAAGACATAGACAATGAAAAGCAGAGAGAAAGAAGTGCTCGGCAGGACAGAGCATGTACAGGTAGAGTCTTCAAAAGGAGTAAAATCAAGTTCGGTGTTGAACCCCTTGGAGTCCTGCGAAAGACCCAGCTGGCCGGTGGCTAAGGGCCGGGCGGAGGGGGATGTGACGGGGCCGGCTCAGGAGCGGAGCAGAGCATTCTACAGCACCCTGGACAGCTCTGTGGCGGGGCAGCCAGGTGGAGGCCCTCGGGTCATCGGGGGGGTTGCAGAGGGGGTGCACCGTACGGCTCGGAGTCTGGTGCACGATCTCCAACTGTATTGTCCTTGCACTTAGGATAGACTGAAGACTGAAGGCACTTGTCCTCCAAGAAAATGAGACTCAAAACAAGACTGCAAAAGTGGGGATAAATAGGGGGCAGTTCCTTAGGGAGTAAAACAAACCTCATAAGGAATAAATGCTAGTCCTCTGTTAAGAGCATTGCTGAAACTCAGCACAACGCTGAAATTCCTTGGGTTTATCACTAATGAAAATTAGATCTGCATTCAACAGAGTTTGCAAGATTTTTAGCAAAACTGGCTGCCAGTTGCAAGGTGTCTGGCTTAAGTTAGAGCTTTAGGAACTCTCTGCTTTTCTAGTTGTTTAAAGCTATACCTTCGCAAAGAAGGTGTGAGTGGAGTTTTACTTTTATTTACAGATTCCTTTGAATATGGAACACAACATAAAGCCAACAAGTGAATCCTTGCAAAACCAGACAAGGAAAAATGAAACAGCTGACACAAAGCCCTGCAAACTGAAAGCATATTTTCTGCTCCAGTAATGACAGTGAACTAGACCAATAGGTATTCCTGAAATGAAGTGGAGAGTGTTTTAAGACAGAGTTAAAATACAGGAAATCACAACTGAAGCAGATGAGATGTCTCAGGGAGAAATTTAACACATAGAGGACAAACACAGCTTGCACGCCAAGAAACACCTGTAGACTAAAACACAGTGGATGATGTTAGACAATTGGCAGAGGCTGACCGAAATTACCAGAAAAAAAAATTCTTTTTAAATTTAGCACAAACGCATATATAATAATAACAACAATCAAAATATTCAGCACATGAAATCCGATCACACTGAAAGGCTGAAGCTTATTATTTTTATTCATAGCACTATTGCACATTCACATCCCTCTGGTCTGTATCTTACCTGGAGGTCCTTGTTGACCAGGCTGACCTGGGGGACCAGGGATATAAGCATTAGATGCAAGCACTTTTTCACCAGTGATTTGCTTGCTAAGATCAGCAGCATTATTTGGTAGCAAAGCAACCTGCCAAATCAAAAAATCACTGTAAGCCCTTCATCATTCAGCTGAATAAATTACACTCTTGGTTCAGCTTTTCACTTTTTTTTTTTTTTTTGGGCAGACAAACAGCATATTTAAATACTTCTGGAAAATAGAAAACATTTAATCATATCCTTCATTGAAATAATTAGAAAAAAAATGTTAGTGTGAGGCTGTTCACGTTTCAAGTCACTGTGAAAAACCGCAAATCAATCCAAACGGAGGGTGGGAAAGATAGAGTGACAAGTTGTCAAAAACTTACATCTTGGGGGCTGCCCTGACCCAGACCACAGCACTGGATCTTCTGAGGAAATCTATTTTTCATTATGTGAAGTTTTTTCTGTTCACTTACCACCCTTTCTTAGGGAAACATTTGCTGAGATATTTAAATTCTCAATGCTGGCACAAGTCACTAACTTTACATAGGTTTCAATGAGAGCTCGAAACCCACTGCGGATCTGGCCCTGTAACCAAACTGCTTAACCCAGCAGATGTCTGGATCTGCTCTGCATAGAGTCACAAAGCTAAAGTGAGAATGTAAGGAGATTTGCACACCATAGCTTAAAATGTCATTATCCATTACAGCAGATGTTTAATTATCTGTGAAACATTAAGCTGCCCAGATTGAATATGTTTAATAATTAAACATGTTTAGAAATATTCTGCAAATATTTGTTCTTTTCAGAGGCATCTGAAGTGAGATGACAAGTCGTGAGGCTGATCTGCAGTAAGGAAGAAGTTTATTAGTGGTGATTGGCTGCACGCAGAGTCGGGAATTTTGTTCTGCCAAACAGATCTGAAGAGCTATTCCAGCAATACCAGGGCAGATCTATCCCTGGGTCAGCTTTGTTGCTCCCTGAATGAATCTGTCTCACTGGACAATTTGATGCTGGATTCTGCAACATTTGTGTGAGAGAGCTGCAGTAAACAAAACACATTATGACTGCTGCTCTCTGACAATGGTTTTAACCTGCTATTTGGAATTCCCTACAGGGGACTGTTCTTAAGGCTTCTACTTGTTTCTGTAATTATTTGATACACACTCTACTGCCTTTAGTGCAAATCTCTTGTTTGTAATGCCCAGGAAAATAAGTATTGCTATGCACTTGCAGTACACGCTATAACTGAGTAAATTTCTTCTGGCAAACAAGTTATTACTGAAGAAATGCACTTCAAGGACAGCCAGTGCTGCTTGCAGTTTGGAGTTGGATACACAGAACAGTTCTGAAGGAAGCAAAAGTGAGGGGGGAAAAAAGTCAGAAATGCTGAGACAGTTCCTGATGGCATTTCCAAAACACCAGTTTGAATTTTCAGACTAGAATTCAAAATACGGTGACAGGAGCATGAAGATCTATCGGTCAGTTGTGACTCAGGTTTTGGAGAGCATTGCTGTTCCAAAGACAGGATGACTGCACTAAAGGCAAGTTAAGCGACATGATCTAAGTCTTACAAGAATTTGGTAGATTCACTCCACCCCCACAGAAAACAGTGGCTGGATGAGTTCAACACTTCACAGAAGCCCCACAAAACGTTTCTTGTGTGCTTACTCCTATCTGTCTGCTCGTATAGAAAATGAGGATCCAGCACACCCACTGCTCCAGTGTAGGCTGTCATCTTTTGGTTTACCAAAGAAAAACACCTGCTTTGTTTGTAAATGGTCCTGCAGCTTCCTCAGACAACAGCCCAGACACTGCAGCACAGACCAAAGTGTGGGTCTGCCGGAGATAAAGGGCTACTTCATGGGTCACAGCACCGTGCATCTGGGGCTGAAGAGGAAAATTCAGTGTTTGGGGGCTCTCAGTATGATATTGGCCAGGGACCAGCACCAAGAGGTCCACTAGCCAGCTCTTGTCAGCATACCATAACAGTTTGTTTCCTGGAGGTGCACCCCCACCCATCCAGAGCAGGGTCCTGGCGAGATATGAATGCAAGGTTGCAAGGACCATTATGCTGCAAAACTTTCATTATGTGACACAAATCAACCAGGGGCTCTGCAGTGCCAATACTGCTATGCTAAAACTGAGACACAGAGTTAAATCCTGTCACTACCCAAAAGCATTGTATTTCTTGGGCAGTTTTTTTAAGAATGTTTTCAGTGTCATCAGTGAGTGTTTCTCTGTAGTGGTGGCCACAGTTGAGTGACAGATTAATTGATGTCCTTTTTAGAGCTTGTACTTAAATTTCTGATCAGATTGTATTTTGGGGATCTATTGCTATCCCAGCTGATAAATAGTCATCACTTGGTGTATAGTCCCTGCCATGAATTTTATATTCTATATTCCACTGCAAATGGTCAGCCTGGAGTAAAAATGTGCTTTTAGTGTTGGAGAGTTACCATGAAAAGTATTTGGAAGTGTGTTGTTTTCTGCTGCTTCAATATTGGCTTGTTCCCCAGCAAGGCTGTTGTAACAACTTAGTAAGTTAAGGAAAAAAAATCACATAGCTCCTATGAAAGCATCTACACATGCTTCCCCACTGAGTCAGCTGGACTTGAGGCATACGCTAGGAGTGCCAAAATACTCAGGCTCTGGTCTAGCTCACTGCTCTTTGATATCTTCTGGCCAGAAAATGGTTGATATATACACTAGGGCCAAACCATGTGGTTTTGATGTTGACTTACATCCTCTTAGGGACTGGCTATACTCACTGGCCTAATTTCTATTTCACCTTTTAACTGAACCAGGATCCTGGTCCAAGGTGACCTTGGCTTTCTCCATCCACAGATCCAAATCTTGATGGCCCTTGAAAAATAATGTTTTTCCTTGTGCGTGCAAATATTAGCAAGGGTAAATTTTAAAGAAAGACAGTACTAGAAATAAGACTCCCATATGCTGTGTTGCATGCTGCATCTGGGGTTTGGGTAGTTTCTAGATCTGTGGTTTAGACAACTTTGACAGTGCTTGACAGGAGTGATGTGGAACATAGCTTTCTAATTAAGATGTTTAAACAAATCTGTGCAGTAGGATCCAGTAATGCCCCCACTGCAAGTGCTGAAATGCTTGCTTGATTTTTTTTAACTGTTGGCTGTACATCAGATATCTTTCCTTCCTTTTCCAGCTCTCTGTTCTTTGTCCTTCCAGCAAGGTCAGAGCTCAACCTAGGGCTGGCCACAGCCCCCTAGTATTTTGGGACAGTGCTTCCCACTGTGTGACCATGCAAGAGGACTCTCTGTTCATGATCTTGGGATCTGGATCTGGAATGGATGTTGCAATCCTCCAAAAAGGTATTGCTACCATCACCAGAGGCAGCAGGATTTGAGTTCACCCTGTCCTTTCTTAAGGAGCCACAAAACCACACCTCCCACTTCCATAAGCATACCCTGATTCCCAGTTGTAAGTTTTGCTGGACTGGATCCTTCACATGCTCTTCAGCTAGACATCATAGTTTTGAAAAAAGTTCATAAAATCTGAGGCCTTAACCACAATACTGAAGACTTATTCCCATAAACTGTCTCTCTGGCAGACAAAAATGAATTTTTGTGTGCAAAACAGAGCAGTTTCAACCGCAGATATTGAGAGATGTCCTCCTCAGAAGAACTTGGCCACAACAAGCAGCTGGTGAAACACGAGGGTTCATGTCTCCCTGGCCAGAGAAGCAGCATGAGGCCAGATCTCCTCTCAGCAGGGACAAAAGATGTCTTCCCCGTGATGTGAAAAGTCCTGTGAGTATCAGAGGACCACCTCTCCCAGCTCTCTCTGTGTGAGGCACAACCCAGTGGGCTTCCTCTGAGGATGCCACATAGATCAAGTCCTGCTAGGAAGATACTTGGGGGAAATTTAGCAAATGGACCATGATAGGACTTAGCTATGAGGAAGGAGGGAGCTGCTTAGTTTGGTTCCAGCTACTGTACAAGTGCCTACGGTAACAGGTATCTCTTACTTTGTCACAGTAACTCTTATTTTTCCAGGAGTGAGTTTAGAACACAGGCACCTAACAGTGGAAGATATCCACAGAAAACATTTAATTAATTCAGGCCATTAGTTTCCGTCAATTCTTGCAGCAAACGACTTGGCCAACAGTGTGACCCCAGATCCCTTCCTGGACATCAGTGCGAGCCTGCTCAGCGTCATGGACTGCGGCTGGACAAACAGCCACTCAAAAGTTCTTTTTTTAACCTGTCTGCTATCGTTTCTTTGGAAAACAGAGTTTCCATCACACATGACATTCCACATTTGTCCTCATGCTAATTCAGAAGGAAAACGTGACCTTCTGAGATTTTTGGGATAAAGGCACTCTCTAAGCTCAGTGTTTTTCATTTTAATGAAGCAAATTTCTTTCTTCCTAATATAAATTATATTAAATGAGGAACATTAAAGGCAAAAAGTGAATACACCAAACTGTGTTTTGACACAATGAAATTAAACAAGCACCTTGAATAAAATAACTACAGTCTGTCAACATGAATTGCTGAGAATATTCCTGCAGAACATTTTAATTTGAGGAAACCTGAGAGTTCAAAGGAGATGTCACCAGAAAGGGCATTACATCCGCATCCCTGCACTTGGCTCTCCAAATTCTAGGCTGGGTGTCTGGGTTTTTCAATCCTACTCAACTGCAAAAGGATGATATAGGAGCATATAGGATATATGGATATAGGAGCATATAGGATATACGGATATAGGAGCATATAGGAGCAATGAAAGGCCAGGAAAAGTTTTTAAGTGAACTATTGTAGGAAGGTCACAGGTGAAAACAAAAAATGCTGATGCTGAGAATTTTTTTTATTTTTTTTTTTTTCCCAAAAAATCAAGACTAGTGACGTTTTTGTTTAGGGGCACGTCTCTTATTTGGCAAGAATCCCATATCAGCACTTTTTTAATTCAAAATCATGTTCTCCCATGTTCCTGCAAGTGCGGAATGTCTTGCACTTGCTTATACTAAATGTGGATCAAGTCCAAAATCCTGTGCATTGAGAATGAATGAAAAGCTGAGGCCAGCACCGATTGCCAAGAAACCTGAGCTCAAACGGGGTTGGCTGTTACTACAAGCTTGGTAAGCAGTCTGCTTGCAACCAATTCAGAAGCATAAGGAAGAGGTGCCATTCCTACATGATTCTGAAATACATTGTCATCATCTTTGTGGGCACAAGAGCCACAAGGCAGTGACAGCTCCAAACACCTAAACTTAACTTCAGTCGTCATGAAACATGCAAGTCTGGTAAAGACATAGCTGAGAAATGTTCATACCTTTTGCTTAAGTTGTAAAACTGTCTGCTTTATTTGATGAAATTCCTTACAAGAGGCACAGCATGTCCCAGGTTTCGCCACATTTTCAGATTTCTCAGGAAGCCCAGCTGAAAGAAAGCAGTTTCCAAAGCAAATATAAAGATCCAAAGGAAAGAAATTCATAAAGTGATTGCAAAAGGGACTTGAAGGTTGTTACATTTCCCCAGACTGTGAAAAGAGGAGAGAATGTTGCTATTATTAATGCTTTGACTGTGAATTGCTATGCAAGGCTGAAAAACTTTGCAGTGACAGCTCTGAGTTCATTCTTAAAGCAGCTGTTTCCAGTTAACAGTCCCCAAAGACTGTCTTTTTTTAATACCTGGAAAAGTTTACACCCCTTCTTTTATCTTTGTGTTTAGGGTAGACTAACCCTATAAAGCTGAACTGATTTATAGTCCCCTGCAGGGCAAATTTTCATATGCTATAAATTACAGTAAAATCCCTCACAATATGGTCATTTCATTCACTTTGCACACACTGCTCTTTATCATTGCTGGTTATTCCTTCATACAGTGGAATCAGCCTGAGCAGAGATGGAGATTGAGATTAATGACAGGGATTTAAATCCACACAAGAGAAAGGGTCACACCTGTTGATACTATGTGTGAATGGGATCTTTTTAAGAATCCATTAAATTATTTGAACTGTAAGAGGCATTGCAAAGGTTGTTTTTGTCCTTTTCCTCATCATATACACGATGAAACACTTCTGCATTGCAAGCAAACAAGAACTGTTTTAACATATGTCCACTTAAAGAGAAATGTTGTTTCCAAAACACATAATGACACACACTGGAAAACTCTAGGTGAAGGTTTTTTTCCTTCCACGTGTATTTGTTCAGAAGCATCAAGTGTATGGAGGCTCTGCATATGATGTGTGCCCTGGATGTTAACCGGAAGGGTTACTGGATACCTTTGAAAGAACAGTGACCTTTCAGACCATGTCCTGTAACGGGAAAACTTTGCAGGTGCTCTTGGTTAAAGCCAGAAATTCTTTGAAATGTTCAAAAAGGATCACCTACAATGTTCTTAGGTATTGTGTCCTACTTCTCGCTTGGACACACATTATAATGTTCCTCATCTTTTCAGAGGTTTGTATTGATTTTGAAACCATCTGCTTGATTTTAAATAAAACCAGAAGTTTCTAATACTAAAGATGTGAAGTGGTTCTTGACTTCAGATGTTTGCAGGGTCCAGTAAGGAGTATTGCATCCATCAGATGGCCACAAATGCACAGTTAAGAAAAAATGGTTTCTGGTATGTTTAGTCCATTGGCTTCAGGTATGTTTGCTTTTAGAAGACAAAGATTTTTTTTTTGATTTTTTTTCTCTTAGCTCCTAATCAGGTAGGAGCTGAGGAAAGGGCTGTAAGGGCAAGCTGCTGGAAGGACCAACAACATTAAGACTAGTACTAGTACTTCACTGATCAGAAGATGAAGAGGCAAAGGTTTTTCCCACTCATCGACTGCCTGCTCCCACAGACTGCAGTCCAATGGCATTATAGTAATAGACAATTTATTTAATGCTTTTATAGCAGTAAGTACACTGCTGTTTGAGCTTTCCTGCCCTTCCTGATGGCACACGACTTGGCAGTATCTGAACAGCTTTCTGTATGGTGGTCAGATGTCTTGAAGGTTTAAGGCCAAAAGGTAATCTTTGGAATTTTCTGACGAACTCTATGTAACACATAATAGAACTTCACCAAATCACAGCTGCTCTGTCTCCCAGACTATCGGGCCACAACACCTCCCAGAGGGACTCCTGACTTTGTGTGAAGATGCCTGAATACACACCATCCACTGATTTTCTTCCTCAGAGCTGTATTTCTAATGCTAATAATCTTGCCTTTGACCCTTTCCAAAGCCTCTTTGCCTATAATAAGCCTTTTTCTGATAGATCAAATAATATGCCCCATTTTTTTTTTCCCCTTAACAAGGAATTGATATGATATATATAGTCAAGATGCCTCTTGATATTTCTAAAAGGTAAGCTTTCTCTTGACCACAAGTCAGTATTGTGGTTCTCTCATGGAGTTCTTCCTCCCTCCCCAATTCCTCAGCTTCTGTTAAAAAAGTCAGTGTTTTGACATGTCCATTTTTGGACCTGTGTAGGATCTACAGGTGCACATAGAGAGAGCCATTAGAGAAAATGCCGTTCTTTTTCAAACTCCAATAAAGTCTGGGTTTGGTACTAGTCTTAATAAAAACTTATTTTAATAGCTATCTTACCAAATGAGTTCTCTCATATTGTGTTAAGAAATGTTGCTGAAAGCAACATACAGTCATAGGGAGAAACTGCCAGAGCCTCTGCTATTTGAAACCTAATGCAATCCCACTAGAATCAGTGGAATTACGTGGAGATTAAGAAGCAGTGAGTTTGGCCTCTTGTTTCGTTATAAAATCCATTTTATCTTGCAGAAGGATGTGGCACACGGGGCTGACTGTAGATAAAACAGGGCTGTAACAATCCATGGAGATGAAGGGGATGGGGGGGTGGGTGTCAGCTAATGTTTGGGAAATATCACACCAGTGAGATTTCTGCAAATCCAGTTGGATTGACTTGTCGGAGGAAGAAGTCCAATGGCATCATATAAGCAAGCATCAGCTGTCTCCCAGGAGAGAGGTGGAATCCTCCTAACTCATACCAGACAGAGGTGATGATTTGCCCAGGGAAGGAGTCATCCATCAAACATTTGCCCTACCCCCATCCAATCCTGCAGGATGACCAAACTAGAAATAAAGCCAGAATAAAGCATGGAAAAAGCCAGAATCCACCCAGGGCAGGACAGAGGGGGCAGGAAGCAATTAGACAGAGCCACCCACTCATGGTGTAGAAAGAGAGGTCACCTACCAGCATCAGTTTGGCCAGCACTGAGCAAGGCACTTACATAGCCTGTTTCCATTGCACAAACCTACACAGGGAAACTAAAATAAATTTGGAGAAGGCTTAAACCAGCCTCATTTTTTGAAGGCTTTCCAAAGCACGAAGTCCAGCTCACACATGACGTTGCTGTCTTGATGGGGGTCCTTTCATCTCGGTGAGACACCGGTGAGCCCTGTGGTGCCTACCGATAAGAGATCTGCTTGGAGGAGCAGTGTGTTTTCTTTGCATGTGCTCGGAGACTCTGTCTCGCTGATGCTGGAAGAGAAGAAGATGCTGGCCAGGGAGAGCTCTGCAGGGAGCTGTGCCGTGGGCGGTCTTTGCATGGAGACCGTTGAGTTCATCATCTGTCTTGTGTTATCTGGGCTCAGCCTGCTGAGATGGTTTCATTTGCGTACTTCTGCGCAGGTAGCTGTGTTGTTTCCATCAAATGCAACATGACTGTGGATGCGGCAAAAATGGTCCCCATCCTTGTGCCCACTAAAAATCTTGATCAAGCCCTCTTACAGAGCTAAAAAAGTACCTGGCTTGCAGCCTTCAGGCATGGTGTGATGAAAACATGAATAGTGTCTGCTGTGAAACTCGCAATATGGTTAGAGCTGGAGCGGAATACATGTGTTTTCAAGGCTTTCATATTAAATAAAAAATAAAAAAAAAAAAAGTATCGCAGCTACCGTGAAAAGCAAACCATCTGATCGTTAGGAAGTCATTCCAGCGCAGATGCGGAGCTCGCCGAGGCAGTGCAGGGCTGGGGCTTACCACAGGGTGGTGCGTCACTACAGCCGGTTCCTCACGGATGCCGAAAATCTCGATTTTCTTTAGGATGAGTTACAGACACAAGCGCTGTGAAACAGCGGTGGCCAACTCCTCTTTCATTTGCACCCGAGGTCTGGCAATTAGGAACATTAACTTGAAGTACGATAGGGTAACAGCATAGAAAGTGTCCTCTGCTTTGCACAGTTGACTTAGGAAATGCCTTGAGAGGTGGCAGGTATTTAATTCCAGATTAACTACTGGAACTGACATTTTTATGTGCTGTGTACATTCTGTGTAAAATCGGTGTTTTTCAAATATGAGAATTATTTCCACAGCCTTGGATATTATGAATGGTTAGTTATCCTGAATGCTTTGGACACTATTCTGTCAGGAAATTTGAACTAGCCAGAGGAAAAGTTAAACTAAAAACCACTATTTGCAAGGGGATTATATAGGTTATATCTATTTCTTTTATGACCACCCCACCACCACTACTTAAAAGGAAAAAAAATCTGAAAACTACAAGGAACAATTAAGGTTAATGGAGTTGCTCCAGTTAGACAATTTAAGAGGAAAATCAAAATTATAAATCCCTGTGGCTATTCAGCATGATTTTGAGCACCCAGTAATACATGTGCACAGACATTAATTGATGAACCTATGGTAAATCACCATTTATCAAAAGAGAGTTTGGTTTTTATCCAGAGCACAGGTTGTTCTTTTTAAATTGTTATATCAGTATTTAATCTGCAGTACTCTAAGTGCTGTAATCTAATACCTGAGATGAGGTAAAAACTTTAAAATCATTTAGACAGAGCACACATACATACTTTGAAACAAACAGTAAAAAGCAAGAACAAATCCCCACTTTTACCCTTTCCCAATCACATATTATTTTCATTAGAAAAAAAATAATTAAAAAATGTGACCACAGTCACGAGACACACGAACTGTGGGTCAGCACAATCCAGTGTTACTCAATGTAATTTAGAAATTGATGTAAGCAGTGCTTGAAAGGTGTGTGGGATTCCCAGACACACCTTTTCTGAGCCTCTGAGTGCCCAGAGGCACTAACCACCCAACCCAGGGCCATTTGCTAATCTCATATGTAGGCATGTAAATACAAATTAAAGTTACTGACTTTAATTTAATTAACAGATGAAATTAATGAAGACTTACAAGGCTTAGCATCTGGCAAATTTTTTTTGTCCTGTGTCTCCTGAGCTCTGGACTGCAAACTAGGTATAATCCAGGTGGTATAGGAACAAAATACAGCTTTGAGCAGATGGGTTGAGCAGAAATGGGTCTAACTGAAGCTGTACCAGCAAGTTTCCCTGTTTAGCCACTGTGCCTCTCCAGGGGAAGGTGTTTTCCACATCCTTCAATGTACTTGTGCTCTTTATAGGTGTGACTGGTGATTTACTTCTCTGTGTATGCAGCTCATAAACTGAGGAGGAGGTGAGTGTGCAGCAGGACTGCTCCACAGGCACTCAGGTACCCAGTGAACAATCCAGGCTCTCCAGGAGCATCAGCTCCATCTCAGCTTTGGAACCCCAGCTCCAAGTATGGCTTAGGGAGCAGTCCCTTCTTATGACAGGTCAACCTTTTAGCCAGCTGTTTGGCCCAGGACTTTTAACTCCCATAGTATATACCTTTATCTCCCTTGGTGCACGTCTTGCCATCCTCCTCCCGGGTGTAGCCTTCGTGACACTCGCACCTGTAGCTGCCTATGGTGTTGACACAGATCTGAGAGCACAGCGTCCCATTGCTTGTGGCACACTCGTCAATATCTGGAGAGGAGCAAGAGTTCAAAATGCCCTAAGGCCAGAGACTTCAGACCTCAAATGGAATAAAAGACTTCCTTTAAAGGTATCAGGAGATTCTGTGGTTAAATAAATGAGTAATTGCAGCACTGTTGGTGCTTTGGGCTAGAGCTCTGTACAAACTGCATTATTTTTATTAACAGATCTGGCTTTTTATCAGTGAATATCGCTTGACCATTTCTTTGCACTGAAGAGCTCACAAGCCAAGCTTGATCCTGCAAACCTTGGATCCCTGACACAAACCATGGAACAGCAAACCATCCAGGGCAGGGTAGGGCTAGCCACACAAGGACCACGTGTAAATGAACAGTCCTGAATTAGATACTGCCCATGTGAATCAAACCCCAATGATTTATTATAGCAATTAGGCCTGATTATAATGCTTCTGGGGTTATTGTTAGAATAATGTACCTTGTCTGAGGTCTAAACCCCAAATATACCTCTAAACCTGAAGGAGGAATTATTAAAGGGAAAATTACATCAGCCCAACACTTCAAAGAGTTTGGGCACATATGTCTCATTTTAAGTACTACGACCTAATAATTTCAGGGGTGTTTAGCTCTCTTAGTTCTGGGAACCTAGTCCATAACATAGTTAAACCCCACATTTCTTCTGTAACAGTAATGAGAAGAATGAAAGTTTCAGATCTAAACTGACTCCTAAAAGACCTGAGGGAGCAGGATACACATTAACCAGACATGATCTCAACCTCTACCCACCCAGGCAATACGGCTTCAATCTGTTCCTGTGTCTCTCCCGATCATAGCGATACCCAGGATAGCAAGTGCATAACACTCGCCCAAAGTTATCTGTGCACTGCTGTTCACAGGGAGCTTCAGCACAGACATCATAATCTAGAGAGAGAAAAACATGGTTAGGAAAAACACCACCAGCAGTAACAGGGTGTAACTTTGGCAGCAAATATTTAACCTCTCTGCTAATTAATAAAGTTGAGTTGCATTGAAGGAACCTAGAAATAAACCATGCATGAGACATAAGCAAAGAATTATAATAAAGTTATAATTGCCAATCACAGCTGTACAGTAGTTAGACAGTTTCTTAAAGTTGGATTTGTACATTTGCCAGGAGAAGGCAGGAGCTGACACAGCATCTAGTCTTAAAACCATCTCAGGTAAACCCTGCTGGAGGTCATGTCTTATGCCAACGCAAGTGGCACTTTCTGTGATCATTTCAGAGGAACATCATCCTGCACACAGCATCCATGTGGTCGTCAAAGTGACTGGGTATGGGAAGGCCAAAGCAGAAATGCGCTGTGCTGCTCCAGACCAAATACAACTAAAATAAACTTAAGTGTTTTGACCAAGTACCCAGCAATGCACTGTGTTTTCATATATACAGTACACTATAATTAAACCTGAAACTCATTATTGACTTATACTAATGACTAGCAGACATCTCTGGGTACAATGATTTTTCCAGACAATTAAAATTAATAGATGTAAAGCAAGTGAAACCACATTTGCTGCACAAAGTATATGGACCACACATGTACCACTGGAAGTAAAAGTGACAGTATGCCAAGGTACAGGAAAGCACCAAATGAGACTTAACAAGCTGCTGTATGTCACGCAAGAGCCCTGTAGACCAAACAATACTACTGTAATGGTGCCAAGCATTTCTTCCTTTGTGCTTGTCACCTTTTGAATAGTCAGCATCCTTTCTTTCCTTCTCACTTCCCAGATGCGTTGATTTCAACTCTTGAAGTCTGTCCACAGTGCTGTGGAGGTGAATGGTGGTGCCAGGACCCCCAACAGTAACCAGGGTTGAACCTGTACCTGGAAGTCCCTGGGGGATGGAGATGCTCCACCATGCAATCTACTCCCAAGATTAAGTATACTTGCAGATAAAAAGCTTTTTGTTCGTGTCTAATCCAAATTTCTGGTTTAGCCATTTAGCCCATTATTTTTGTCATCTTCTTTGTGGCCATGAAGAACAGTTTATTTTCCCCCTTGCAGCAAGTTTTCACACACCTAAAAACTGTTATCACATCTCTCCTCAGCCTCCCTTTCTCTAGTCAGTTCTTCTTAATTGTCAGTCTTTTGACATGTAACCAATCTTTAAATACAGTTTTCACATCCACCTTAGCAGAGCTCCATCAAGACCATTGTTTCATTTGCTTTAGTACAAACCTAGGGAAGGGTCCAAGAGATGGAAGTCTCCCTGCTGGCGGCTCCCACAATCAGCCCAAATCACACAGTGCCTATGGGCAGGTCCTACATCACAGAACTGTGTGTCCCCAGGGCTTTGGTGCCTGGTAGCATAACTCCTTCAGGAAAAGTCCTCACAACTGTGATGAAATTGTGCAAAAGCTGCTGCAACACCTCTGTGTACTCTGCAGAACAGAGGATGCACATGCCTGCCCTCCCATGTTCAAGCCCCTTGTCTGCCAGCCCAGCCTAAGAAATGCAGTTTGAGGATGAGTCAAAGCCACACAGTGTGAACAGCCTGTTTCAGACATCAGGAAAATAAAAAAAAAAAGCTGAAGCAGAATAACAAATATCTCTACACATATTTCAATGAATTTAGGAAAGCCAGTGCAGCATGGAAAGCTGTACCAAGTAAATTTCTGAAACAGCTTTAGTGAAGAAAAAGCAGATCTGATTAGTATTAGCCTGTCATAGAGTATTTTGCTCTTAATTAATCCACAGCCAAGAAACTCAAGTTACAAACCAGTTGCTTGAGTACTCTCTCTCAGATAGGTAGTGTACTCTCCAAAGGAAGCTGTTTCAGACTACATCTGTCCCTACTTTACTCTTGATGATGCCATGAAACAGGGCCTGATTGGAGCTGTGAATCTCCAAAGCAAAAATGAAGGAGATAATTCAGGGGAAAAGGGTGAGGAGCTCTTTTTTGACCTGTTTCTTTGCTCAGATAGAGCAGGAGAGATGCTACCGTGGGAATCATACAGGCAAAGCAAACTCCTGTTGATGTTTCCTGAGGACAATTCCACCTTGCTCCTGCAGCTGAAAGCCACAGTGAGAAGGTGAGACCAAAGCAAATGATATGCAGAACCTAGGGGCATGGACTCATCTTGGACTGCACTTTCAAGAGCAGGCAAGAAATAACATGACAGAAACCAAAGATGAACACGGACAAAGCACAACCCTT